TGTATGCTGTATGCTGTATGCTGTATGCTGTATGCTGTATGCTGTATGCTGTGTGTGATACCAACAATGTCTCGCTATTCCCTTCTTCCCTTTATTCACGTTTCTCTTCCTCTTCGTCTCTCTCTCCAACTGCTCTTCTCCCAGCTTTATGCCCTTTGCAAATTTCGTTTGGCATTTTGGTTAAAGTTAAGCCAAAGATTGAATGGCGACAATTTCTGCACACATACACACTGAATGGCCCAAGTTAGCCCAAGAAGCATAACTCTTGGCAAAGGCATTTCATCAAGTCTTTACCCTGGAGTCTCGTTAATTACACAATTCCATTATTTTTCTGCTTGCAGATAGTAAAGTTTGCGATTTCTGCAATTTAACTTTCCCGCTACCAAAACAGGAAGAACAAAAAAAAAAAAAACAAACGAAATAAAATAAATGAAGAGAACAAGAAAGATTCGTAATTATGTGCTTATGTACGTGGTCCATGGACACATCCATCTGAGAGGCACCAGAGAGCGCTCGCCTCGTCGCGCTTGGGTCACAGCTTTTAGTCATTTGGTTCGGCTTGACAAACCCGCAGCATGAACACCAACAATAGCAACAGCGCCAACAACAACAACAATGGCCACAAAAAGGACAACAAATGCTTCTGTAATGCATGGACACGTACAGCTAATTAATGTGCCTTTCATTCCCACCACATTTGTCAGCTGCGAATTAAGCGATCTAATCGCATATGTCATCCACTTTGTGACACATGTCAGCTGGTAAATATGTTGTATTACGTGCCAGCTGGCAAAAATACCATGAAGTATTATAGAATATTATGTGTGCTTTACGAATTCGGGATACTATAGAGTTTGGCATACTAATGAAAATTGCAAAAAAGTGTCAGTTAATAACGCTCATTGTAACTTGCATGCTCAAGCTAATGTTAATGTTAAAGGTTCAAATTGAAGTTCTTGGTAAAGTACTTTATAAAAGGTTAGTACTTAAGTTTATGATAAAGTTATTTGGTAAATCTGATCAAACGGCTTGTGAATGGTAAATAAGCTGCTAGACTTTAGAGAGAAGTTCAAGTTGAAGTTCATGTTAAAGTTCTTTGTAAAAGTTTGGCACATAAGTTCATGATAATGTTCTTTTGTAAATTTAATCAAACAACTTGTTTATACTTAAGATCCTTGTAAAGATTATTTTAGAGTATTTTATTGTATAGCTTATTGTCCAGTTTTTAGAGACACTTACTGAATACATTTGCAATTCATTGTAAGGCTTAGACTAAAGTTCATGCTAAAACTTTTTGCAAAATCTCAGTGGAACTTTTCAATTAAAAAACTCATGCTATAGTGTACTTCATTTATATATGGTTTGGTTAAGCTTAGGTTTTACTTTAAAAGGTCTTGTTGAATGAAACAAAGTATAAAGCCAAATAGAAATTTTTTTAAAAATATTTTTAACATTGTTACTTTTTAATATTTCTTCACAACCTTTATTCATAAACATATGTACTTTTTGCATAGAATTCTTAGAGTATTTTGTATTCGGTTAGCCTGAAATCATCTTCATCTTGCTTGGCTATTTACGAGCTTATTTTGGTTGTTCTATTCTTTGGCATTTCCGCATTATTACTCACAACTTGACACAAACATTTTCGCAGGTCACACACACACACACACACACACATACACCGACACACGCACACTCGCAGAGAAATGGACACATAAACACATAACATAAAGTTGGAACAGGAGAAACGCGACAACTGGCTGCCCCTTGTGGGACATTTTGCATGGGCCATAATCGAGCCGCAGCGAAGCGGTGGCGGCACAGGAAACCTAATGAGCGTACCGCCCACGCACTGAAACAGTTACACACGCATATATACACATATACATATATATATATGTAGGTGGGACTTGGCGAGGCATACAACAAAGCAATTCGGTCTGCTCGTCCAAGGACAAAAACAATAACAATGATGCACGCGATACTTAAGAAAGTTTTGTGCTCCAGCAACAGGGCGTGGGACAGTGCGGTAGTGGGGTAATGGGCGGCGGACGGTGGGCGGTGCGGGGCGGGGCGTCGCCATAATTAGAATCATTGAAATACATGGAACCATTCAAAGTTCATTTGCTCAGTGAGGCAGCACGGGACAAAAGTGTCCATTCGATGGCCGCGCTGCACGACATATGCCCTCCAATCGTGCGATTGTGTGTGTGTGTGTGTGTGTGTGTGCGTAGGTGTTGTGGCAAATGAGAAAACAATGCCCGAATAACGACTCTCCGATGTGCATTAAAAGATTTATTTCTTTGCGAATAAATGAAGTTCGTTTTTTTTATGGTTTCGTTCGCTCCGTTTAGTAGCTTCGGTTGAGACTAGAGATGGGCGTAATATAATTACATTTACTTTCAAATATCTGAAGTTCTTGGTATTTTTTTAAGTCATATATTTTTGGAGCTATACTGAAATTAGTTACTATTAAGCTATAATGAAAAAATATTTCAAACAAATATTTTTAATTCTTGATTAATTTTGTTCAAATAAATATAAAAAAAATTTTTAATAAAATATACAATTAAGTTAATAATTTATGTTATATACATATGTATATTTTTTTTAATAAATATGAATACAAAAATATTAAAAAATAAAATACTATTAGTATTAGTTACAAATATATATATATTTTTTTTAATATTATTTTTTTTTTTTACCTTGTTAGCTGTTATTATAAAGTTTAGATTTATAAATATAAAAATAAATATTATTTTCAATAATTTTATTTGTATAACAGATGCAGCATTTTGCATCATAATTTGACCTGTTAAGTATGCAGTGTTTTTTTTTTTACATTTTCGTGTCACGCTCTCATCGCTAGTGAAGTGCTTACCTTTATCTCTGGGCGCATTTCGGTGGGGACATACATTAAGCACAAGCA